ATTTTCAGCAGAAAATTGCTCAAACTTAGTCAGAATCATCTTGGGTAAATGAGAGTTTTACTTTGTAAAATTAGGATTCCTGCCCCATCCCCAGGGGCTAGAGCGGGGCCCCAAAGGGAACATTTACCAATATTTTCAAATTCTTATCCATTGATGACATGACAAGTATTGTATTTCACTTAGTTTACATGCTGATTTCCACATCACATCTAAACAATAAAATAAAGCTACCAGTATCTATGATATAACTCAGGTGACCGCTAAGGCCCTTGGGCCTCTTGTTTATACAATGTATTCACTTTTAATCAGTTGGACTGGTATGTATTGTATTCTCCAGCCAGAGTGGGTCTTGTCATGCAGTGTATGTTCTAACTTTAGTTTTGCCTCGTTTTAATTTTTGCCTAATTATCTCAGGTAAAATATTCTGTAGCCAAATTAAAGCATTGTGTTGCCTTCAGGTCCTCTGTAAAATCTAGTCAAGGGAATTTCAATGAAATCAATGGGAGTCAATTCACAGTCATGCTAATGTATTGATGTGATTTCCACATGGCATAGTTGGTAGTGTGTTCACCTTATGACTGTAAGGTTGTAGGTTTGATCACCTCAGGCAGTAAAATGTGGAATACTTAACCCTTTCACCACTGTAGATTTTAATGGACTCAACCAACTAAATGCATGGTAGAGTCCACTAGAGTTACCTAGGGGTGAAAAGGTTAACCCCTGTTGCTGACCTATTACTCCACCTGCCTCATTCTACACGTGTACGGTAGGTTTCACATGGCATGGTGCTATAAATCTTAATACCCTTTTGGCAATTCAGACGCATAAAAGGAAAATCATCTGTGCAACCTCCTGCATGGAGGCACTAAAGATAGTCAACAGAAATGTGTTTGAGTAGGGCTGCTTCTATCCTCTGTACTTCTAGTTCTAGGCCAGAAAAGACTTATCTTGGTTGCCTTATATTCTATACATGAAAGAATTTGCTATGTAAACAAAAATAAGCTCACAGTGAAACTCTTCGTTGCGATTATAAGTGATGCAGCAGTACCCTTGGTATTGTATAACTTCCTTGAGATTACATAGCAAGTATTACTACTCCTAGAAACAGATACCACCATGATTTCTTCCTTCTCTCATCTCAAATATTTTCATCTGCCAAAATTTCACTTTACCCCCAGTTTTAAAAGCAGAGAGTCGTAAAAACCATCTGCTTAAAAAATGGTGGAAATGCTGAGGATAGGGTGCTATAAAATGCCATGTAATAATAATAACAATTTTTGTGATTGTATACCGTTTCTTTAGTTACATTATTATTTAAGTCTAAGTTTCGTTCCTCGTTTATGAACAGATCATATGATGTGTGTTTATTTCCCCTGTCACAATTGGAATTGTTCTATTATATGTCTTTATGTGCGTATATATACAAAATCAAATACAAAATTAAAATGATTAAATGTTTCTGAATGACTGAACAAATGTGATAAGGAATTGAATGATTGATTGAATGACAGGATAGATCAAAGTATTCAATGAATAATGTGATTTAACACATGAATGATGCTATTAAATTTAACAAATATGATTTTATAGATACTTGAATGATTTGTTAACAATTTAATGGTAAACAATTTATGATTTAATAATGCTCTATATATTATTTCTGATTGAAAATCATTCCCACTACAATGTGTTTTAGTGGGATACCATACTTATCTGTCAATAAGCCCACGCATATCTATTGCATTTCAGTAGGAACGGTTGTAAACACTATTCACTTGTTTATTAAGCCCATCTCCCCCTCCACCCCCACCCCCTAGCTTCTTAGAAATTTGTAATTCATATATATACAATGATATATACATACCATATTAATCCGGCAATAAGCTCATGCCTGGTAATAAGCCCACCCATATCTATTGCAGTTCAGTAAAAATGGTAACAAACACTATTTCATTCTCCCCCAACCCACCCCCTAGCTACTTAGAAATTATGTGATAACCTCCTGGGCTTATTGCTACATAAATATGGTATTGATAGGTTATATATGTATATATGCTACTGACAATACTGGTACATATGATAAGGTACTAGAGGATTTAATGTGGCGTGTCGGTGAGCGAATCTGATCCTTTTAGTCACGGGTGGTTGGATACACATATCATGAATGTGTCAATGTATGTTTATATTTCTATGGATGAAGGGTGAAAAGATCATTAGTGTTTGGATGATTGACTTTAAACCAGATCATATATGTATACATTTGACATTTTTTTCATTTAAGGAAATTGTACAAAATAATGTAAAGGGTATTGGTAGCAGGCAAAGCCTATGTATATATGCAAGTCTCATCCCCATCAGTGTGTTACTAGTATATCACTTAAAAATACATTAAAGTATTGTTTTTTCCAATTAATTTTAAAGTCATTCAAGCTTTAGTCCGTGAAATCAATATGATGTGAACGAATATGGCAGAAAGCAAGGGTATAAGTACATGTATTGTATGTATCGGAGATTCTATGTTTGTTAGTGTGTTATATATTCCAAGTCACCCTTTCATAATTGTCTTCAATTTTAAGGATGCGTGTGCTTTGTTATAAATCCTGTGATTTGTGTGTGAGAGTTATCTCCCTTTAATAAGCATTATTTTATAATTATTAAGAATACTTATTATCCTGTATTTCCAATGTAACATCTCTCAATTAACAAAGTCCAAATTATTAGAACTCTTTTGAATAGGAGATGATTCTCCAGGGTATGATATCATATACCCTAAATAAGTAGCGAAATTAGGTGAAAGATTTGTGAAAAAAAGTAATGTTTTCCTGTTATGATATGGTTATGTTGCAAAAGTGGTGAAGCAGTCCTATTATATATATGAAGTGATGATATTTTCAGAATAAAGGTGCTTGATAGATGCCTTTCCTTAGGTAAAGACAGATTGCTCTCTCATTTCCCTGTGTGTAAGATAGAGCTGTCCAGGGTAAGAAAGGGGTGTAGGAAATTTATATCTTGCACCCCATTTAACGTGACGTGACGTCATAATGGCTCGACATTGACGTGACGTCACAGATTTGGAACTCTCCGATGTCGCAATGCGGAAAAGGCGACGTGATGAAAATAAAAACCTTTTACGATATAGTTACCGTACAAGTTATAAAGATGTGATCTCTTCCATGCCAAGGGTGTAGGATAGGGAAAGTTCATCCTGGGGTTTTACCAAATTTGAAAACACCTCGGGTGGAATTTCCCTATTCTACAGCCCTGACCATGAAAGAGTCTTTGAATCTTTTCCCTAGCAAAAAATAGGTAATCCACCCGTAAACTTACAGAGAATTATTTTCCTTACGTTAATTCTGGACCAATCTTACTTATCCCAGATATTTCTTCTACACATGTAGGGATTTAAAGAGAGAACATTATCATTGGATAACATGGAAGTTAAAAGGTGCATATAAACTGTCTTAAGGATAAATGTTGTCTAAAGAAATGACCTCCTCTTGCAAAGAGTTCTACACAAAAGAGTTCTACTGAAAAGAGTTCTACAGAAAAGAGTTCTACACAAAAGAGAAAAGATTTCTACATTAAGAAATCTTATTATTACAGTGGAATATTTGAGGATCAATAACTCAGCATTAATATCATGTATATTTTACATGTTTCCCATTCAGAGTAATCAAAGACAGTGTTTGTGATAAAGAGGTTTATTTTGAAAAGTTGCCAAAGTCTTGTACTTCAGCAAGTGTCTGTAAATTTAGGAAAAGAGCCTCTATGCACATTTTTACTTGAAAAGTAAAAGAAGTAATATATGAGTATTATAATGTCTATAAAATAAAAATACATTTCAATAAAATACTTAATATTCTGTTGTTATTTTGTTGTACTATTAAGTTAAGTTTATTTTACTGATACAGGATCTATTAACCCTTTCACCCCTATGTAACTTTAGTAGACTCTACCATGCATTGATATGGACAGGTACATTATGGTGTACAGTGGTGAAGGGGTTAAGATCCTCTTCATGCAAATCATAACATTGAAATATTGAACAATAGATAAATGTGACATTGGTTTTGATTGGTTTAGTATTGTTTAACGTCCTATCAACAGCTATGGTCATTTAAAGATGGCCTCCCCTGTGTGCAAGATGCATGCATGTAGTTTATGCCTATGTGTTTTGGGAGGCTGCGATATGTTCATGTTTGTCTCCTTGTGATAGCGCGGAACTGATGCCGACTTTATAGTGCTACCTCACTAAAACATACTGCCGAAGACACCCAACAGGCCACCTCACCCGGTCACATCATACTAACAACGGGCGAACCAGTTGTCTCGCTCCTAAATTATTGAGCCTTAAGCAGGAGTAGAAACTACCATTTTTACAGACTCTGGTATGTCTCGACCAGGGGACAGAACACAAAGCCTTCCTCTCATGGGTGAACGCTAACTAAAGGCCAAAAGTGAGGCATTTTCAAGGGAGACATTAGGAAGAAGAAAGTTGTTTAGAATGAAGAGAAAAGATAAGATCCCAAATTTAGTTGCCTCTTACGATCATGCAATGGGGGCAGCAGGTACAATTCTTACGCCTTACCTGGATCATTAACATATCTCAGATCTATAATTACATAGGAGTTCCTGATTCTCCCAATGCTTATCAAGTCTATTTTAAAAGTGTTTACACTTTTATTAAAATAGAATAAGATAGAAATAATAGAATGCACAGCATAAACTTAAACATTATAAAAGCAAACCTTGGGGAGAGCTTCCAGAACTGAGGAGTGACTTATAAACAAACCTCTTGAACAAAAGCGAGAACTGAAAAGAAGCCAAATAAATTTGTTTATGCATCTAGAATTATGTTGTATGTATATTTACAACAAGTAAGGACGCAAGCAACAAAGAAAATTGTATATTGACAATTAGCGATTTTTGTATGTTTTGACGAAGGTAGACAAATATGTATTGATACTGTATACATGTATAGAGAATTACGATCAATTCACAAAGATGGAACTAGAAATGTGTATCAGCAACAGGATAGAGAACTGTCTTGATAAATTAAAAAAAAATTATATATTATTATGTTTCGACCAAAAATAAATTGTAAAGAACTAAAGATAGAGAAATATGTATGAGAACCAATGATTTGAAATTTGTCTTTAACTCATTCACCACTGAAGACACATTTGGACTCTTCCAATGCAGAGGTTGGAATAGTTCATTATGAAATTGCAGAGGTGAATGAGTTAACTGACAACAAGATCGATGGAGCAATATGTAGGATTTAATAATATTTCCACCAAAATAATAATAATAACCATTATAATTATGTAGGCAAAGATATAGAATTATATCTTGACAAAAAAAGAAAGAAATGTGTAAAAAACATAATATTAATTGCATGCCGAAGACAAAATTATGTAAATATTTATCGGCTACAAAGATAATTGACAAATAGATAGAAAAGTTTTAACCCTTAAGCGGTGTTTCGAAATTTGAACAAAGATACAGATCATTCATGATAACTGGTACATATAGGTAGAAAATATTGTTTTGCTTCAGATAATTACAGATTGAAAAGTATATATAGTCTACTCAATATTGTTCAAAAGGGAAGGTTCAGTTATGACACAAGTTTCAGTTTCACTGTCCTATTTTCGTACTGGCCTCGAGTCATCTTACAAAAGAAAATTATTGAAATGAAAAATTTCGTTTAAATGATTTCCAGTTAATTTAACATTGTCTTGAGGGCATTTAAGATCACTTTGTTTTATAGACGCTTATCTGCGAATTATCTTGCGTATGGTGGTAGGTAAATCTTGTACCCCGTTCCCGGACCCGGACTGAAACCCCGTACCGGGAATATAAAGATATTTTAATATCTCATTAACGAGATGGTTTATAATTTTTATAAAAATATAGAATAATTTCAAACATTATTTTCTAAATGTGACAATTACAAAAATGTTTATTTATTATCTAATAATTTAGAAATCGACGATAATGTGTTTTTCAAGGGGGTAAAACTTGTACGCCGCAGTCAACCGTGAAAATCACGGTTTTTCACATATAACTAGAAATTTAGGGAAAATTAACATGTTATTTTCAGATATATAGAAGAAAATACCTTACTGTTTATAATTATGTAAGTTTCGTTGAAATAAACAACATATTTCACATGAAATTCTGACTTTGTTGTGATCGCGGG